GCAGAAGTCATTCAATTCTGCTTCTGCAAAAAGTCACAATAGAACATTTTACTGATAAAAAACACCCAAACAAAAAACCTCAAACAGCACCACCAACAAAATTAGGCTTATTAATTAGATTTTCTCTCATTTGACGTAAGGAATGGAACTTAGAAGCATGTTTTATAACTTACTACCTAAGAATTAGGTGAAAAAAGTTTTATAATAAAAGAGAGTAAAAGATGAATAATATCTTTCAAAACTCATTAGTTATGGGATAATTCAGTTTTCAAAAAGCTCTATTTAGTCTAATATATACATATGAAACCTTTCCTATCCATTTTCCATCTGAAGGGGAAGTCTATCCTACCTGAGTAGAACGTGACACTTCAACATCACATTAACAATCAATTCAAACCCATTGCCTTCGATGCTGACAGATTCCTTGAAAAGAACAGTGAGCAGAGTGTAAACACAAAGCACATCCCACGAAATATTGAGAAAATGAAATGACACTGTAACAGCCACCTACATGTCACTTTACACATGTGACAGTAGGCATTCACTGCAGCACCTGAGCTGATTGGCCAGACTCAGGCTGAGCTTTATAAATGCAGTATTGGCTAGAAAAAGCAGTGTGTACCTTGATGTAATTATGCACTAATCAGTGAAGTATGCAAGTATTTGTAATTAGGGAGATTATTAATAGTGAGATACCATACGTGAGGATAGGTACCAGTCTCTGGTGTGACTAAGTTAGAAGAAGCGTTTGGTAAAATTTCTCATTTTGAAAAGCAAGAAAAAATACATTCAGAGTATGGATTCCCATGATCTGTGCTTCAGTTTACAAGGGAAAAGTAAAATGCTTAGGTTTTGTTTCACTTTATTAAATTTAGTTATACACTAAGTACAGACAAAGCTGCAAACCTTCCTGCAAAGGTTTTATCATTCATCAGCCACACACAATGCATTTAGCACCAAGCTGGATTGACTTTATCAGACACAGATCTCTTTTATAGAAAAGAATAAAAAGGCATTATTCTAACTCAGTTATGGTTTGAACAAAGGCGCTGCTGCTTGCTTACCTAGGTGACCTATATCATCTAAGTTTTCTTTTATAAAACTAATAATTGACAAACTGAATAATGTACTGTAATGGAGTTCTTGTTAAACAGTTTCATTTCTCTACTAGATGGAAAGGCTCATGATTAAATAATAATTGAAAAATCTTGTGGTTATTTTGAGAGGTTTTTTTTAAAAAACTCTCCATGTTGTGACCTTCACACAGTGATGTAGATACAGCTGCAGGCAAAAGCTCTTTCCTTAGAATTCAGGAAAAAGGAAGATCCCAGCTAACCTCAGCAGTTTATGAACCCAGCTGCCGCAGTATTTTCCTGATAGCCTTAATTCATCAGCCCATATTTCTGTTTTCCTCAGTTTCCTGGCTAAATATTGGACTTCAATTCCTCAGTCTCAATTCCTGATTGCCTTAGTTCATTGATTATGAGGGGGGCATTCATATCCAAAAAAAACCCCACCATGAAAAGAGAGACTGCAAACAAAATACAGCTTCAGCAGGCCCTTGAATGGGATATGGACAAAAAGCCCAATGATTCTGTGCCAGAGCAGGGCACAGAATGTGGGACTGGAGTCGCCCCAGAGGCAATGGAAAATTTTCCAGGTGCTGAAGCCCTGACTGAAATGAATGGGGGAGAACAGTATGGGCATTCATGGTGTAAGACCTCACCTCACCATATCCAGAGGGACTTTTTGGGTTGATTTGGGGTTTTTGTGGGCTTGTGTTGGATTATCTGCTTGTTTGTTTTAGCATTCCATCCATTCCCCCTGTAATCATGAGTGCTAGAAACATCATATCTCTAGGAGGATGAAACCCAAGATCCTGATGCACATCTCCCACGTCAACACGGATCTGAATGGAAAATCTAACAGCTGCCCAAGTGCTGAATGTCAGCTATGAGCACCTGAATGTCAAGATGGCATTTGGGTTTACTCTTTTAGGCCACCAAGGCAGAGCTCTCTTGCCACATCTCCATCCTTAACCTCTAGAATATCATCAAGCACTTTGTTCCAGATAGTATTTATTGAGCTTTTTCAATATATACCAGACAGTGAAGCAGTAATTCATCACATCATCCTGCCAACCTACACTGCAGTCTTGCTGGGTTATATTAAAATTGCAACAAATGTTTAAGTTTTTAATACTGTCATTTCATATTCCTGTCTTACACAAGGCTTTAAAGTTTACCAGTACTACATATCCACTTTTTCTCCTTAACCCCATCATCTAGACTCTCCCTGCACTGAATACATAAGCCATTTACCTGGACCAAATTGAGTTTATGTGTAGTTAAGTCTTTAAAAGTCATTCCTGCTAGTCAATTCCCTCATTAGAAAACCACTTCCTATCAGAAGTGCCCTCAGGTTTTGAGAGCACATCAAAATTGGATCCACTTAAGCAACTGAGCTTTGATACTGTGCTTAATGACTTTCTAAATTTGTCATTTACAAAGTACTTTACAAGCCTTCCTGAAGAAGAGCTGAAGTCTGCCCATGCAGGAGCTCACCTCCCCAGCTCTCCTCCTTCAGGAGCCTCGGTGATGTATGACGTGTGCGATGCCATTTTCCGAATGGATGACATTTCATTTCAATCCCAGCCTTTCCTTGGGACCATCTGGCCACTTTCTCAGTGAGGAACAGATCTCACAACTGTGACAGCTCTTCCTTCAGATCGGTGCCTCCTGTTGTTCCCCAGCTACCTGGGTCGCTCTGGGAGAGAAACAGCCACAACATTCCCAGACAGCTTTCCCTACAGAAACCAGCTCTCCACTATGCCATATAGAGCAAGTCTGCATCTTCCCTGCTGTTCCTTGTACTAAAATATCGATATTTTATCCCAAAATTATGAAGGCATATTATGTTTCCCACACACAGGCATTTGATGATGACACAGACCTGCTCCAACTGCATCACCACTATTTAAACATCCCCTTTTAACAAGGTAAGTATTTCCTGTTGGTGAAAACAAATATTTCTTGGTGGGGAACTTTTAGCAAGCAATCCTAATATCCCACTTGTTCAACCCAAACAGAATTCTGGGACCAACAACATAAAAAGCTTTTACTTTCTACTCCCTTACAACTCAGACACATTAGCATGCATACGACAAACCCAAAATAGTCTCAAGAGTAGAACTACAGTGTTGCTATAATCTTTCCTGCAAATTATGAAGTGTGAAATAGAAAGCTGAAAAAAAAAATTTAAAAAATGAAATATTGATAACAACATGTCAAAATTACAACAGTAAAAGTAAGAAAATAAACTCCCTGGTTGTCATCTGTCTGGTGCCTTTTTGTAAACTCCTGTGATGCAATAACATCTTTTCTATCGTAATTCCAAGTTTGCTATTCAGCAACATCCCAGGAAAAGCTCAGATTATACTGCTCATAAAATTGAAACAATGGTACACTGGGAGGTCAGTTTGAATTATGAGGTGGGATTATGTTTTGATTTTAAGATTTACAGATGCATTTGAGAAGTTACTGTAGGAAATTGCCATTGAAAACTTCACAGCAGGGAAAAATAGAAAAAAAATATAATTTACCTGATTTTTCATAAGATTCAATCAGAAGTACAACACAAATACAATTTTTCATCTTTTACCTCATAATTTTTCCAACTTTATTTTCTTTATTCATGGCACTCTTTCATTTAGTAAGTGATATGCACATAAGGTATTGTCTGATACTCAACTTTTAATTGCTACAATAAAAAGCACCACCAAAGCAATATAGAAAAAATAATAAAAGTCATTGCCACCAGTACATCTAGAATAGCAAACACTGATGGATATTGAACCTGAAAATATCAGTGCAGCACATTATCTATTCCATTATATACAATAATGTTACTAGCAGAAAAAGTGTCAAGGGAACAACTATGTACCAAAAAAAACCAAAAGTCACCAACACTATTTGTAGATTTTTCTCTTTCCCAGCAGGATCTAGATTCACATCAAACTGAAAACCCTCCTTCTGGGTTCACTTTGAGCCAACGAGTTCATTTCAGCACTCAAACCAAGATTTGCCCTGAGTTTACATCCTACTGTTCCATCCTCCTTTCCTCTACCTAAGATTACCTTTTCTCTTCTCTGTTATTGGCCTGTTCTGCTGTTCACTCCCATCTGCCTTATGTCACTTGAATTTCACTGCTTTCCTAACAGCCTGTAACTGGTCATTCAACAACAGTGAAGCTAGAAAAAGAGAAAATTGCAGATCTGTTGCAAAAAGATTCTGTACATAAATGCTACTTAATTATGATCATTCTGTTTTCATGTACTTTTAAACTGAAAGTTACCTTATTTTACAATGTTTTATTTTTTTCAGAAGAACATGATTTTCAGTTCAACTTTAAAGAAAAAAAAAGCAAAACAAAAACATAAAAAAGCAACCCTGAAAGAGTAGTTACTTCAAGGTCACTACCTAAACATGACCAACCCCTATGCTTTACTCTGGAAATAGAAATACTGTAGGTTTAGAAAAGAACAAGGCAACTGATGAAAAAAAAAAAATCCTTTTGAAAAGTTTGCCATGATGTTTCAGAATAAATAGTTACAAGATTTAATCAAAGAAAAACTAAGCATTGAGGAACCCTGCTGTATCCCCTATAGCTCACACCTGCATCCCCACAGGTGATTCTCTCTCCAAAGCTGCACATGACATCAGAGGCGATCTGTATTTCTAACTGGTCTTTTACAATTGCATGCATTAAAAACAAAAACCAAAAAAAAAAAAAAAAAAGAAAAACAAAATAAACACAATTAATTTACTTAAATCTCACAACACAGTACATCATGTTGAGTAACAATCTGATGACAGATTTGTGTTACAAATTCAGAATTGATCTGTCTAAAGAAGACATGGTCACATCTAGACAGCAGCAAAAACTAGAAGATACAGTAAGAACTTAGAGTCTAATTAGATTTCTGAAAATATAAGTGTTTTTAAAGTATCAGTAAGGTGTTTGGTGAGGAAGAATTTCAGTATACCAAGTAAAATATGGAACTTAATGAGTTTCCATTATTTCAATTTACCTATAAGCATTCCAAGCCTGCTAATATTTCAAGGTTCACAGCATTCTGGTTTATGATAAAATTAAATCATACTAAATCTACAAGCGCAGAAAATGGTCACAAGCTTTGTGAATGGATTTGAACGGGAGCAATTTTTAGAAATTAAGCTTCCTCTGTGCTACCTGGAAATAACAAAATAGATTTATTGATACAAAAAATTATGAGAGGTATGGTTTGTTTGGGGTTTTTTTAAAGTTGAAATTGTGATAGGATCTCAATATTTAAAAAATAGTCATCTTTTAGAGCTGTACTACTCTTTCATGACCCTTGAGCTGTATCAGGGAAAAACCTGTAACAATACTTTCAATAAATTCAGGGTTGTAAGCATCATGAATTCCTCTAATATTGCTAGACATAAATGAGTAAAGTCTCATACCATGTAATGTCTTGCTTTATGTTTGTATCCTGCAAATATGAAACCATATCAGAGTACAAATTTCTCTTGAAATATAGATTCTTGTTACTTCCTCTCAGGATGAACACCTAGCAGGTTATCGATCTGCTTCTGAAGGACACAGTGCTTATTATGTAGAAAACCACTGCTGGGCACAAGTGTGAGAAATTAATGATGGTTTTGTAAGTGTCCACACTGTGGTGTTGAACCAGTGGGGCAACTGTCAATCTATATGATAATGTATCCCAAAACTTCATAAAATCAGTGATGTGAAGAAGCATTGATTTTTGAGCTAACCAGGGTTTGTGAGAGAGTAAGGCTAAAAAGTTTACTGAAGTTAACACTTCTGTGTACACAACACCTTGTGTGCTGTTTTTTTAAAACAACCAAACACACAGAAACCCTACTTACAGAAACCCAAAATGAATTCCACATAGTGGTGTATTACTTGCTTGCTGTTTGATCATGTTGTTCTTTCTCCTATTAATATCATTGCTAGAAACATGAAAAATGGATTCACTGCACTGTATTTCCAGTAACTGAATAATTCACTTATTATGGGGAAGAAAATGAAAAACAAGTGAACAGACTCATTCTTTTATCAGTCTGTGACAGTGTGGATATAAAAGTGGGTTCTGAGATCATTATGTTTTCTTAGACAAAAGGTGTGACACACTGCTGCCACTGAAATGGAGACAACCACCTGCACAGAAGTGAATTCCTGCTGCAGCACTGAAGCCCAACCATTCCATATTGTCAGAATTCTATTAGTCAGGACTTTTATTTGAAATTATGCTCAGAAGCCTTAACAAAACTGTACTAAAATCAATGGAAGTTTTCATGTTTTCTGTGAATGGCATTATTAAAAGGAAAAATCAATTAACTGCTCACTGATTATTTTTAAAACATGGGCTTCCTTGTACAAACCATTATTAGTAAATGCACATTCCCTCCTTAGTTTTGATGAAGAAATGTATCCTGCTATGCCTATGGAGAGGATACATTACATGAAGATTCAATTTAAATCAACAAAAAAAAGACTGTTGTTACAAACAAAATCAATTGCACTTTGCTGAACTTCTTCCTATCAACATATAAACTGTAATTTTGCCCTGTTTGCTTTGACAAGCAGTAGCATGTGTTTCCAGAGCCTGGCACACCCACTTTGCTGAAACCAAGACAACTGTCAGTGAATACAGGGAGGAGCCCAAAATAAACACCTACAAAAATGCTCTTCTGGGAGGCATCCAACACGTATCAAACAGAATTCTATCCCTGGTGTCCTGCTGCTGGAACAGTTGTTCTGAGAGTTGATGATGCTAGGGAGGTTCCTCTTCACCTCCTCAGAATGACAAGATCCAAACCCCTTTGTCTCTATTTTAACTAAACTGAGTTTACACTTTCATCACCCTATAGGATGGAGGAAAAATTCCTGCAAATCCTTTTTTACTATTTTCTCTCTAAAGTTCTTTAAACCTATGAGCCCAGAAAATTCCCCAGTTAAGAACTTTAGGGTGATCCACGCAAAGGACCTGAATTTGGATATGTGCACCTGAGAGGACAGTGCAGAACACGGACCTGAATTTGGATATGTGCACCTGAGAGGACAGTACAGAACACAGGAGAGTCAGACTACCCCTGCCACACTCTTCAGTCAAAGGTGACTGGTGCTGTGCCCAAAGTCTCATTTCTGTGAGACTTTAAATTACACTAAATACAAGCGTTCCGCCTCAGCCTGATGCATAGATTTGCTTTCCAAAAGCTCCACAGTACCAGTATTAAAAGAGCAAAATAATTGTTTTTACAACTTCAAAACCATGGAAAAAATACATAAAATTAAATCTGACTGTTATGAGTTAGCATAATTGCTACAGCTATCAGCACATTGTGGATTATTAATATTACTTCAAGCTGTGTAGAAAAATCACATATACAAACTATTTCTCTTTGGAAATTTCTTTCTGCTTCTCATCATTAAGTTTAATTTAAGATACTTGGAGCACAAACTTCTGTGACAGATTATGGCATGAAAAGTAAATTGTAAGATCACACATAATATCTATCATATGATGCACATATAATAGTTTCCTGATAGTGATGCCGAAAAAACCCAAACCAGCTTCAGTCAAACCGAGAAAGTGCAAACTTCACCTTTGAAAGCAGAGTGGTGTATTTTTAGTAGGTTAGGAATAGTAGAATAGGAGTACACTGAAGGCAAACCCTACCGTTCTCCTCGTCTGACTTGTTCTCGTTGTCGGAGTCGGTGAGCGTGAGAGCCGAGTTCTCCCGGCTGGACAGGCCGGAGCTTCTCCTGGATTTGATGCCCCTGCCCCAGAGCCTGATGGCGTGCTCGGGGGACATCCCTCCCTCCGTGTCCGAGTCGTTGTCCGAGCCCGTGCTCAGGGAATAGCCCTGGTGCAGGATCCCGATGTCCGAGCAGTACCCGCTCCGGTGCGGAGACGGCTCGCAGATCCCCAGTTCTGCAAGGGTGAAGTTTGTTCCTAGAACCACAAGGGAAAAAAAAAAACAAACATTAAGTCATTAAAAAATCTAGAGGATTTATTTTCAGCTTGAAAATATCAGATCTCTTTTTAATTTTATGCAGTTCTGCTGTATACTGATGAATTACTTACATAAATTTCTGGCGCACTGGTCTAGCAAGACTTAACCTTGAAAATATTGAATGTATTTAAAATGGATGAAATATACAAAATAAAGGTAGGAAAGGTCTCTAAATTCTAGGCTACTCTTTTGGCCCCAAATAATGAATCACTTAATTAACATAAACCTCATGACAAGTGCTAATGACACGACCTGCTTTAGTGTGTATGTAACCTCATATTTGTAGGACAGAGCATGAGCTTTAAAGTTATGCATTTGATTACTCAAAAAGAGATTTTTTTTTTTAATGAAGCTAATTTTCACATACACAAGTCTTTCACAGAGATAGTGAAAGAATGGAAATCCATCAATGAGGTAACATGGAACTTTGTCACCAATTTTCTATTCACATTTGGTGTAACTGGTAATTCAATATCTGCTAAAGAAACCAAGATAGACTTTACATTGTAACTGTTTTCTTTTCCCTCCATATTCCAGAAGAAAGAATTAATCGATACCAAAATCAGGAGGTCATTTGGTTTAAAGGCAAAACTTTCTGAGACAATGTCAAAACACATGACCTTTAGCAGTTAATAACGACTCAGTGGACAAAATCTTATACATTTTTAAAGCACACTGAGTCCCCCAGGGTTCTAAGAAAGTCCAGAATTGCCGCCTGATTTCTGCTTATGTACTTGTTTCCTACAGTAATGAACAGGGCAGTAAAAAAATAAAGGGAAATATTCACTGGTCTCTAAGGCTTGCAAAGATTTTGAAAAGCAAAGTAATTTGAGCTTCATTACATTGGGCTAAAAAAAAAAAACAGACTAAAGTTGCTGGCAGTATAACTGCCAATTATTTAACTAATTTCTGAATTCACAGGGAAACTAGATCTGTAGGCTGTGTTTCTAAAACAGTAGTTTTATTTTGTCCAAAATCCATTTCTATTTTTTCCTCTTCCTCTCTATATTTATATATTTGTCAGAATGAAGCTAAACAATGGAAGTTCATACACTAAATAAAACACACAAATAAGTGTCTGCTATTAATAAAGAAGGTAACTAGATTTTTTTTTTTTTTTTTTTTTAATAAGTATTAGAACTTCTTTCTCAGGTTAGCCAGGAAAGCTCACAGCATTTTAAATCCATCTGGTTCCCCTTTCTGTATCAGCTCTCTCCAGTCTCATATTTAACTGCCAAAGCGCATTTTGGATAAGGGGTGTATGCACACATGTAAAACGCAAAACTGGGGCCCAGTTTAAATTTATTGCTGAAGCTCATCAGTTGAAGGAAGGGGATGGATTTCCTCTGGAAGTCTGAGCGATGTCCTTGTGCAGCAATGACCAGGCTGAAGCGTAGCTCTGTCACCCTGAGGTCACCTGAGGCCCCGCAGTGACCCCGCGGCCACAGCTCCAGGGGAAGAATTCCCACCAGACAATGCTTCTCAAGGAATGGAACATTTAGTGGCAATGCGTAAAAAGAATATAAAAACGCTGACATTAAAAAAGCTAGCTCACTTTCTTCAACACCAAATTAACCCAAACCCTTCTAGTTAAGAGCATATTTTATCTGCCTTCTAATATTGAACGTAGCAATCAGAAATTTAGTGGTTTAGCCAAAAGCAAAGAACTCAACAGTCCTAAAAAAGAGCTTCTCAAGTGCACTTCATTCTAGAGATTTTTTGCTTGTTGCTGTCTTTTTGCCTTTTTTTTTTTTTTTTTTTTAATAAGTGAAGAGTTCTAGCATGACAGATAAAGCTACTGTTAAGGAAAATGTAAACTTTAATCATGTGCAATTTCAGTGGAAGATATTTAACAAAAACAGTATGACTGACTAGTTTTACTTCAGCCATGTTAGCAAACTAAGGTTAGACTTATTAATAAAAAGGTCAAAATCAAACCAAAATGAATATTAAAAATTGACTGAACTGAATCATAGTAGCCCACCCCAGGTAGAGTAATGTTGACATTAGATACATATTAAAATTACTAAATTCATAATAAAAGTTTTTCAAATTTTCTTGTTTGCTAGTGGCACGTCTACAGATACACCCAAATTATGAATATATTAGCTAAATTAAGCTGTTGTATATACACAGTAAAACATTTTGATGATATTCGGTGGATTTCAACAGCCCTTACAAGCCCAGATGATTTCACTTTGATTAGCATCCTGTTCTTACTTTGCCTGAGGAAAATGATATAGGCTCTGAAACACTATTCACAAAACTCGTTCACCCATTTGAGTTTTATTATCTGGGAACTTGGCATTTTCCAGCAACTGACAAAATTTTAAAAAATTGAGAAGTGGATCATATCAAGACCACAAATGGAATCAGCCCCTGAACCTCTGGGAAAGGATTTTCTATGCTGCTTCTCAGAAATCCCTTTATAGTCTTATGACCTGATGGTAGACATGAAATATTCTAGAAATTTCCCCATCTAGTAAAGACATGCTCTTTACTGGTAGATTTTAAATTAGTTTTATATACTAACTTTTGGCATTTGCTTCTGCAAAATATTATTTGAGACTTTTCTGTAATGCAGCATATATAACTTGTTCTTGGATAATAATCTTTTCACATCTACATACATATATAAAAGAGGTTCTCAGATATGTATTTTACATCCTAAAACATACAAATGTATCTCTATAATTCCTAATAGTTTCATAGCCCTTAATTTACTGTAAAATCTGAGGAAAGGAAGATGGAAATACTACAGTTATATTCTCTAGACTTTTCTTATTCTGGACCTAGTTCTCCTACATGCCTTGTTTTCCTAAAATGAAACTGCCCACATGTCCTGAATGACATATAAACTGCTTCCACTAACATATTCTTCTCTCATTTACTCAGCCATTACTGCACATTAAGGTATTAATGCCATCAGCAGACCACCAGTAGACCTTGCATATTCACCCTTGTATATTCACATAGAGGATAAACAACATCTGGATGCACAGAAATAATTTGTCCAGTAATTCACAGAATAAGCTGAATTGGAAGAGGATCATTGAGTCTGGTCCAACCATCACACCCTGTGCCTGGTAGCATTGTCCAAACACCTCCTGAACTCTGCTAGGCTGGTGCTGTGACCTCTTCCCTGGGAACGCTCTTCCTGTGCCCAGCCATCCCCTGGATGAAGAATCTTTTTCTAAAATCCAACCTAAACCTCCCCTGACACAACTTCAGACCATTCTCTCAGGTCCTGTCATGGGTCACCATAGAGAAGTGATCAGTGTCTGCCTCTTCTCTTCCCCTCACAAGAAAGGAGACCTTCTGTACCCTGCTGTGTATGGAATGAGGTCTCTCCTCATTCTCCTCTTCTCCAAGAGACCAAGTGCCCTCAGCAGCTCCTCACTCGGCTTCCCCTCAAAGCCCTTCCCCATCCTGGCTGCCCCCCTTTGGGCACCCTACTATTACTTTGCAGATGAAGTACAGTATCATAAAAGATGGAAAAACACCTAAGTCATTCCATATCCACGCAGGCCACCAGAATACTTCATGTGGAATCCTGATGACAAAGTTCAGCAAGAAGAACTCAGGCCTCCTTGCCTCAGTGCCAGCACAAACTACAGCACTGATGAACTGGAGAGAGGAAAGGCAGGCACAGCCTGGCCTGGGGTGAAGGTTTAGTGTCTCCTTCAAGGAGTACCATCCTTACAGCTCTAATGACAGTGGGAGCTCAGGCGTGGCAAGACAAGCAAAGGCAGCAGGGCTGTGGTGCCACTGGCTGCCAGACTGCTCTGCTGTGTGCCCACAGACAGATGCTGGCCCACAAGCCAAACTGCACTGCCAGCATCAGCAGGGTGGGACAGCATCCCCTACACCTGGGGTTTGCAGGGAGCTGAGAGGAACTGAAACGCCCCTCCCTGGAATGTCACTTGCAAAGCAGGACTGAAATTTGCAGGCAGAATTCATTCTATCCATTCTTGCACACTAAAAGCTTTTTTTCAGATTCTTGTAGCATCTACTGCTTTGCTGGTGACACTAAGAGAAAAGAGATGGATAACGTCGGATCCTTATTGGTAGAAAAGAAAGAAACTTCTTTCCCTTGAAGAACACAGGACCAAAAATAGAAAGTCACAAGGTTTTTGCTTTTTCACATGAAACAGCTTAGCAGTCTCCATGCTCAGTCCCTTCATCCCCTCCTGCAGAAACCACTAGATGATTTTCATTAAAGGAAGGCAGTTAAACCCAGCTGCTCCCTTAAGGTGTACATAATCTCTCATACAAAAACAGATCAGCAGCATTCTAGTTTAGCAGAGTAGTATAATGTTATGTACTTGATCATCATTGCCCATAATCTACACGCTGTGAATAGTCTCTCAATAGAATAGATGTTTTCCTTTAAATGAGGACATTACTTCTATTATCTCTTTAGTGCACTTCCTTGTACAGAAATTTACTGTTTCAGTTATTTAGGATATAAACACTTACTAACAGTGTGTTGAATTCAATGATGTACTACTGTACTCATTATCCCTACTAAGCCTAGAAAGCATCACCATTTCAGCAAAGGTTACTTTCACCTAACCCCTAGGCAAAGGTCTCATTTGGCTGATCAGAAACTGCATTTATTGCCCTTCTGAAGATTAATCTAATCCAGCTGTGATCG